TTCTTTTTAGTATTGTATAAACATCGTGGCCTTGCTGATTATAATAATACAAGCAAACCAAAATAAATATGGTTTTTTTTTAAATTACATATAACGATAAATAAGTAGCTCAATAGATATTTGTTTGCTACTCGGGGTAAGTGGCTTTTCTTTCTAAATAATTTTTCGCCGTTAATTCTTTCTGACAACTGAAAATTGCTAGAGAGAGAGACAGGGAGAAGAAGAGGAAGAGAGAAAGAAAGAGGAAAGGAGGGAAGAGGAGAGAGAAAAAGAGAGAGAGAGAGAGAGAGAGGAAACTTATAGAATATATATAAAATCAATCTCTTAATTAAAAAGCAACTACTCCGGTTATTTTCTAAACGCATATAATATCGTACGATCTCGTCAGTATAAGAACACGAGATACCAGCAACACCGATATGTGCAGCATGAATACATTAATACCACGTGGATACATTAATATCCACGTGGAAAAACTCAACAGTAGCTTCTCCCGATAACTTGCAAATCCGATAATATGCAAAATTCAATTAATTAACTAATTGCAATATACTCAAGTGCTGTAGTTGCCATTAACAAGTTCTGCTAGTCGATGCCGCACAATGATACTGTCGGCAGTTTGAAATAGCAACGACAACGCCCACGATGACGAGTTGCATACGAGCGGCATTGTCGCCGCTTCTTGTTATCAGTTACGTGTTTGGTACAAGGATTTTCGAATTTCCCGCCGGTAAACCGAGACTGTGGCTCAGTCTTCTATATATATTCCTATTATGGTCAGTTTATCATATCCTAATGAGGTATATCGCACTGCAATACTTGAGAGATCTACACATCACGTTCCATGTGGCTTTTCAATTCAACACATTTATTACATCATTGTCAATTGTTATTGGAATATATTACGACAAGGTAAGAGAATATTACCACGGCCAAACATTAATAAAAATATTTGGTTTTAGTTATAAATGGATAGCTTAGGTAATTGGAAGCAAAAGTGTTCACTAAATCACAATCTAACTTATAGTTTCTTTATATTTACCCGTGTTATATGTTTGCTCAATATTGACCCGCGAGTTCCACCTAGTTGTTTCTTAATTTCAAAATATGATTTCTGTATATTAGAAATATAGAAACTGTTTGAGGAAGCTCGCCATCATTGACGACACGCTAGAGAAGCTCGGAATAGCGACAGATTACCAGAAAGTATACATGACGGTACTGTCAGTCACTTTTGGATGGCTCGCGTTTGTCATTTCCTCCGCTTACGTCAAGAGCTTCTTCTACAGAGACAAATGCGAAGTTCTGAAAGCCATTTGCATTTGTTTCTTGGTAGAATACTGCACGTTCATCAATTTTATGAACGACCTGATTATCGTGAGTACTCTTGGGTACGTGTACAATCTTTTTATAACAATTATTTTAATAATCAAATCTTACTACAACGCGAGAAGAGATTAGTATTTTCTGAATGTCCAAAGAAAAAAATTTTTTGATAAAATATACTCGCTGTGTCGAGCGGTAACTATCATGATTCGCCAGTTTTTCCCGCACTCAGATATATAGAACTGAAATTCGACCAAGTTAACGAGTACCTCCGTAAATCGGAGAAAATCGACGAGTTCGAAACAAAACGGACATGGGAATATTCGGTGTTGCATTCGCGCCAGATCGGCTACGCAAAATCTTCGCGCAGCAAATGGGCCACGTGGATCGTAATGTATTATGAAAGCCTACAAAAATTGGATATATTCCGACACAACTCCTCGCGCACTGATAACTAATATTGCGTTTTTGCAGACATCTTCATTTGGAATTACGGAAAATATGCCGCGAGGTGAATTCTATATTCGAACTGCAATTGACGCTTAAAATTGGTTGTTACTTCGTTTTTATATCGAGATATTTTAGTGAGATCTTGAAAGTGATATTCAACGATAATTATATCAACAAATTCTTTGTCCTCTTCTTTGTAATCGCACTTACTTTATACATCTTCAGGCTCTTTCTCATTAATTATATGTGCGAAAGGATCAGCGTTAAGGTATCGGTTACACATTCGTATTTGACATATTTTGTATTTGCTTTTAACGATTGTTTCACCACTAAATTATATTCACATTCAATTGTATATACAAATTCGCTGCGCTGAATCCCGGTCCTGTTTGATATATTTCAATTACAGGCAAGCACAACGGGAGATGTTATAAATATAATTTCATATTCTTCGTGCGACGTTGTCACTCGCGAAAACGTAAGTATTTAGCTATTAAGAAACGTATATGAAATGATAATTTAATATGATAATATAAGTGTGTTAATATAGATTTCGCAACTTTTGCTGCAACTAACTCGAACTCCGCTCAAATTCTACGGGTTGAGACTTTTTCAGTTTGGCTTAAGATTCTTTCACGGGGTATGTTGCAATCATCAAATAATCATCTTTCACGAAAAATGAGAAACATGTAACGAATATCATGTTTTTAGTTTATCGGCTCCGTTGCGACCGTTATAGTTATATTAATTCAGTCGCACACAAGCGTGTAAGTATTAAAAATAACTAGTGTGACTGATATAATGGCACATTTTATCGGCAATCAATATTCTCCGTTTCTTTCAGAAAATGCTGCAACGCGTCGAATTAATATTTTCCATTATACTCTCTATTTTGCATTGGGTTATTCATTAATTGAGGAGCATTGTTTTCACGTATTTTGCTCGCTGTTCGATTATTCTTTCGACGCAACATTGTCGCACAATTATCAAGGTATGAAAATAAAGAGCGTAAGGGAACGTAATATTGCATGTTTTTCTCTCTCGCGGAAAAAAATAAACTCATTAGTTATTATATGCCGATAGCTCGCGCTATGCAAAATTCAGCGGGTTGATCGTTTCAATATGCGTAAGTGCAGCAATTACGAATTAAAACTTTTCTTTTTAGTATTAAATAAACATCGTGACCCTGCTAATTATAATAATATAAGCAAACCAAGATAAATATAATTTTTTAAAAAATTACATGTAATAATAAATAAACATTTATTTCCTACTCGATTAGTGGCTTTTCTTTCTAAATAATTTTCCGCCGTTATTTCGTTGCAATAACTAAAAATTATCATTCTTACCTTTACAGGATTCAGAGCAAATGTTTTTATTCTAATTTTACACGACCTCACCTTTCCATTTCTTTTCGCAATAACTTTATTAACCTTTAGAGGGCCGGGATTTGAGAGGGCATATCCGCCTTAGTAAAGTGGTAAAAAAGTATCTTATATCATGGATTGACCATACACTAAGTATCGATCATGGGTAGCGCCAATATATTGGCTTTCCGGTCCGAAAGGAATCAGCCCATATATAAAATTTCAAATTCGAAAAAAATACTTCTTTCACATCAATTTATAAGTGTAAATATGCCGATGTATTTTCCGATGTATTTTTCGACGTAGAATCCAAATCTGATGTCAAAAATACAATAAACCTGAAAACAACCCCTATAAAATTACAAAAACTACCCCTTTTATGACGCAATTCTAATTTTTTTTATTTGAAAGTGCAGATATATGTTTCCGATGTATTTTTCGATGTAGAGTCAAAATCCAATGTCAAAAACACAATACACCTGGACATAACCCCTATAATATTACAAAAACTACCCCTTTCATCACGTATGATTTCGAAACACCCTCTTCTTTTGAACACGGGCTTGGGACCGGCTGTGGCAGAATTATATTTCTTTTTTTTAATTTTTTTTATTTTTAATTGTTTTTGTTTTTTTATTTTTTTTGTTTTTTTCATTTTTTTATTTTTTTTTGTTTTTTTTTGTTTATTTTCTGATTTTTTTAAATTCTTTTATTGTTTTTTTTTAATTTTATAAATTACGACAATGATCATTTGGTGTGATAAATTTCAAAGCAAGGTTCAATGCATAAAGTTTTACAACATACTTTACACTCATATGATGATCGACTTCTCTTTTTGTGTATACTGCATAGAACACATTGACGTGATACCGTTTTACTATCATCTGAAGCTTGAATTTTTCTGGGGAAATGTCGTCCATTTAGTCTAAGATTAGACGAAATAAATGATGAAACTTCTTGAGAATTTACTTTCAAAATATCTCTTACGACGCTCAATCGAAAATCAGAAAACGAAATCGCATTTTTAGTGAGCATCTTGAATAAACTGTGGGCATTTATCAATATCAAATCAATCAAATGAAAAAACAATTTTCTATACCATTTCATACATTTTCTAATAGATTCTGTCAAAGATAATTGTCTGTCGATATCATCGATTTTGCCCATATTTTTGTTATAATCCACGATACAAACGGGTTTTATAATATCTTCATTGGTTTTGTAGTTTTTCCTACCAGTTTTACAAAACTGGTGTTCGTGAATACTTGTCAATACATAAACTTCCTTTTTATCCATCCATTTGATTACCATCCAAGAATCGGTGTGGGCAACTTCTGTTTCACCACGATTTAGCTTTGAACTAAGAGTTGGCATTCCTTTACGATTTTTTTTTACAGTTCCACAAAGACCAGTATTTCTGTCATGTAAGTAGTCTGACAGTTGTAGAGACGTATACCAATTATCAGTGTATAACACACGCCCTTCGTTACAATAAGGTT